AGTATTTATTATATTTTTGTAATTATTGTATTTTTATTATATATCTATTATATTTTCATTATATACTTATTTTCAATGATTGTGTACGTTTGCTATAAATTTTCAATAATTATTGGAGATTAAACTATTGTTATTTATTAGACATTAGACTATAAATTTAGTTGAAATTAAGAGTTTTTAATGATTGGTTCAGTTCAGTTGTAGGTTGTTTTGCTAACCAAATTGATTTAGTCAAGTTCGTAGTTTGTCACTTGAAACCGATTGACCATTAGTGAAAACCCACTAACTCGAGTTGTATTGATTTGGGTCTATTTTCCATTTAGTTTGTTTGTTCAAAAGATTTAAACTTAAAAATTAACTTTAAATTTCATAAATTACAACGATATTATTAAAAAATAAATTACAAAAAATAAATCTATGATATAAAATATTTTAGACTAATAAATATGAGAATTTTCCTACTTTTTCATATTAAAAAATTAAATTTAAAATATAAAATATTAATATATATTTGTTAAACCAAAGCCAATCAGAAATACTAGAAAACCGACCAACTCGAGTTGAGTTTGATCAGATTGTTTATTAAAAAGTTAAAATATAAAACAATTATATACTCTTATGTATTTCTATTGTTTAGCTTTTGCTTAACAAAGCTTGTGCATCGCACCCTGTCACCATGTCTCTCCTTGCTCCATTATCCCCTCCCTGCATTCTCTTTGACTTTCTCTCCTCTCCCCTTCCCACCACTCCCATTAAGTCGTGTCACCCAACCACCTAAAAATATTCCTACAATCTCTCTCCTAAGGTATCTCATTTAAACCAATAGAAATTATTGTGTTGCCCCACTCCCTAACCAATTCCTAAAATGCATCCCCCCAATCTATATCCACTCTCCCTCATTTAAAATATTCATATTAATTAATAAGTAGTTAAATACGGTTAATATTTAATACCACCCATATTCAATGAGTATTAAATAGTGTTATTATCAAAAGTTAATAAATACGGTTAGTAAATTACCAAAAATTAAATTTTTTTATTAGTATGGTTAATAAATTACCAAAAATTAATAAATATTGTTATTAATTAACCCATTAACAACATTTTATAGAAATTGAAAACTCTTTAACTAATTTCTATAAAATGAAATTATTAATTAATTTATATTGAAAAGTAAAATATAAATTAGTGTAATTTTGTTAGTAAACTACCAAATAAAAATATATATTTAATAAAAATTTAAAAACTTTCAATAAATCCCCATAGTTACACAAATGCAATAATTTTTTTGAAATTTTTCATAAAACTACATTTTCGTAAAATAACATTTTTGAAATGAAAAGATATAAAGTATTTGAAAGTTTATTTAAAATGCATTAAATAATTATTGAAAATTATTAGAATATTTTGGAAATTTTAGAAAAATTTATTACATTTGATAGATTTTGGAAAACCATTGAAAAATTATGTAATTTTCATTGAAAATTATTAAAGATAAATGTCTATGGGAAATGTAAAACTATAATTTGAACAAATAATTACACAAATTATTAAGAAAAATTAGTATAATATTGAAACAAGGAAATTATTGGTTAGTTTATATTAGAAATTATAAGATAAATTAGTATAATTCTATAAGTAAACCATTTAAAAAGAAAATAAATTATTTTATAAAAATTTAAAAATTTTTTAATAAATTTTCAAAATTACACAAGTACAATAAATTTTCTAAAATTTTCATAAAATTACATTTTTGAATGTTAAAGACAATTTAGTGTATTTTTAGAAATTTACCATGTGGTTGATACTCAATATCCTTTTGATAATTTCTATCATCAAATTGAATATTGGGTTGACGGGGATAGTATTTTCAAAACTGGATCAAACCAGATGGTTAGACCGAAAAAATTGGGAATCGGACACCATTTCACCTCAAAACCGCTTTTTGTCCAAAAACCGTTTATTTGGTTAGCGAACTGCTGACCTGGGAGGTTGAACCGTCAACCCAAACAACAAATTTTGATATTTTTTTGTTTTTCTAATTCTTTTGTCAGAGCGGGTAATCCGTTCGGACCAAACAGTCGAACCATTCGACCCCATAATGGTTCCCTATCTGGTCCAATTTTAAAAACCTTGGACAGGGAGTGAGTGCCTTGCCTTGAGCTTGGCTTGGTGTATGGCATGGCCTGGCCCAAGGCCCGGCCCATGGACCAGCCCGACTCATGGCACGACATGAGCTCGTGTAGGTTTGGGCCATGGGCCGTGCCAAACCGACCCCCAAATTATCCTAGAGGAGGGAGGCACGGCCCGAGTTGCCTCATGGGCTAGCATGGCACGACTTGCACTTTGTGTGGGCCACATGCGGGTTGTGTCATGCTGACCTAGCACGACCCAATTTACACCTCTACTTGAACCTACCCAATACTGGGGACGGGGCAGGGAAATTCGAGGATTCTCCATCCTTGATGAGGAATGGGGTGTCTTGCCCTTAAACTCGCCTGACATTGAGGAGTGATTATCTTGCCTTGAACCCGCATGACACTAAAGACAAGGCGGGGATGCAATAGAGTGTCTTGACTATGGGACAGGGAAATGGATGGTGTGCCCTGCCCTGAACCCACCCCGTTGTCATTCATATATAATTGTTAATTATTAGTGGAATTAATAAAAATGTTAACTTTTATAATTATTTTTATTTATTTAATGTTAATCAAAATTTCATTTAAAAATAACAAAAAAGATAAAAATTATTAAAATTACTATAAATTATTAATAAAACTAAATTTATTAAAAAATATTTGATTAACAATAATTATTTTTTATAAATTAATATTAAATGAAAAATAAAATTATTAAATCTTTCAGACTTTCCCATACATCGCATGAGTCCCTGCTTATACTATTTGTAAAGGGGATGTAGGGAGGGTTGGGTTAATTGAAGACAACCTACCCGTTAACAAGCCACACCAATTTATGTAGCAACATATGGATTCAATCGATCAGAATTGGATCCAACCAAACCATTTAAATGAACACATCGGATCACTCAACCCATTTCCAGCCTGCTTCATGTAATTTATATTTGATGATGTCTTAAGAGAGAGATTCCTTCTACACTTATGGTATGTGTCAATATCACAGACAACATCTTACCATATCACCAACCATGGGACATTAGAAAAACCTAGAATTTATGCTTGTTTGCAAATTAAGGATCCTGACAAACAAGCAAACAAAAGAAGATATTTTATTGGTTAATGTATAAGATCCAAATTCATTATCAAATGGGTTTCCGTTAGTTTTTTGGGTCATTCTAGCTTCTCGTCTTGCATTGTCAAATGGAGAAAGATCAAATTTTGGTATTTTTAATTTTGAAAAACCGTATAAAAAGATTTGTCAAATTATACGGGCCCATTCGGAGATGGCCTTTTCATCAAACCATATATTTGGTTAATTTGGTAAGCCGTTTATTTCTTATCAGGTGGCACGACTCATTAGTTGATCCTACTATAATTAGTTTTCTGTATTAAGGTTTATTTCCTTAATAAATTGGATTAAAAAAAAAAAAACTTGCAGATGTCAGACAATGACTTCCTATGGTTAGATAACTATATTGCCCAATCATCTAGGTATTCTTCAACAAGACTTCAGGTTGGTGATGATGTGGGTCAAATGCATTGTTGATCCTCTATTTTCTAATGGGAGAGAGAAAGACATAGTAAGTAGGTTTCTCTTGGTATTCTATCCAGTGTTTCTTTTGATCTCTTGGGGTTCTGAGTCTTTCCTCTTGCAATGGAGGAATACAAAGCTTATTCTTTATCAGAGGTCTTTCTCCATTCCTCCAAGAAAGATTGTTGGTTGATCATAAATGACAAGGTAAATTATTTTCTTATATAAAATGTATCTGCTTTAGAAATGACAAGTACCTAGTCTCCAGTTTGCTATGTTTAGGTATTTTATTTGGTTCTTCAGGGTCTGTTTTGATGATTATTTCTAGTTTAATTCAGGTTTATGATGTAACCAAGTTCTTGGAAGATCATCCAGGAGGTGAAGATGTTCTTTTAGAGGCATCAGGTAGAAAAAATCCTAATTATATGAGAATTATATAATTCTGCTTTTATTAATGATTATAAGAAATTAACAATTTGAGCCAGACAAAACTTATTGGAGAGATCAGCTACATGGCTTTTGAAGGCCCTATCTTCTCTCTAAATAGATGCCATCTTCTCAACACTGACAAGCTTAAGAATCTTAATTTGAATGATTTTTTTTTTTTTTAATTTCAGTGATTGAATTCCAAGAGGTGAAAAGGCTAGAAGGCAAGTGATTCAGAGAAAATAATAGTGACATATGAACCACCTCTGGGTGTTGGTTTAAACTAACAGACAACTGGGTGTCCTGACTGTTGTTCCATACATATTTCACATATTTTTTTTAGATGTTTCAACTAAGAAACAAACAGAAAAAAGGGGTTTTGCAAATCCAGAGAGAATTGGTCTAATTTGATCAATTCTTTGGTAGATATGTGAATGTCTAATAATTACCCAGCTTTTCTTGAGGTCTAATACATGCAGTTGAACATAACTCAACTGAGCCTCAATTCCAACTACTTGGGTCTGGTTACATAAATCCTGTCCCACCATTGTGTTCTATCAAGAGTTAACCATGTTTTCTAATGCCCTGTAACTGAAAAAAAAAAAAAAAAAAAAAACAATTTAGGATTTGTGTTCATGTTGGATTGGATAAAGGTTTTTGTGTTGGTTGCCGACCTGAAACAGTCCTCTTTTACATGAGCTTTGAACCAATCCTTTCATAGTGGTTAAATATAAGAAGTGACTAATCTACAATGTCCAGATTGTAAATCAATACCAAGGGGTTATCTTCATCTTGTTTTCTCCTTTTTATTTTTCAGTTAATAGCCTTTTGAAAACCATGTGGAATTGTTATCACTTTATCCTAGTTTCATAGCATTTGAAATCATGGACTTGTGTTCATCATCCAAAATGATACCATGGACCAAATGCTAATAGAAAGTAGAAATGAAATCAGTTTGAAGAGCTAAAATGAGTTAGTTTTATCATTCCATGTTAAGTGATATAAAATCCTCCAAATGCTAAGCAAACCCAAGATGAAATGATTTCTTTCTGTTTGGTTTTCAAAAGCCATAATAAATAATGATTTGATTTTAGAAAATTTCATCATTTTCTACTAATGATGTTTGTTTTTGAACTTACTATTGAAAATTCAAGCCAATGGAGATGCCACAGAAGCTTTTGATGATGTGGGTCATAGTTCCACAGCCACCAGCATGATGAATAGTTATCTCATTGGTTTTCTGGAGGGTTCTGATGCTGGAAAAGACATTGGAGGTTTGCAGACTATGAGGGAAAAGAAAGAAAAGGGATCTGCTTTGGCCAAAGCCAAAAAGGAAATGAAGCCATCTGTTGTCATCAACTTAATGCAGTACAGTATCCCTCTTATCATCTTTGGTGTGGCATTCGGAGCTTGGTATTTTCTTAATAAAGCCAACTAGTCTTGATTCTCATCTTTAAGCCATTTTTGTCACACAATAAAAGTAATTAATGTTGCAAACTTATGTGTCAATATCTGGAAGCCTATGTAATACCTTTTTATTTTTATCTATCTATCTATCTATCTATATATATCCGCTTTATATGATATAAAAATATAGATAGATAAATAAAATATGAATCCATAGAATTCAATCAAAATTCGACTTTTTTTTTTATAAATAAAATCTGAGGCCATCATAGATAGATGGCCCAATAAGCAAAGACATGCTTAGTCTTTTAACCAGGTTTGGGCCCCATGCATTTGTACTAATGCAATAAAAATTGCACTGCAACCAAACACAGCCCTAATTAATTAGGACCCGTGGCTTTTTAGAACTAGGCCAAGGATTTCTACACAAGTTTCCTAGAGCTCGTGGGGGTTGGTAATGACCCATCTAGCTGTCAGGTTATGATATGATATTAAGTCGTCCTATCGATTGATTTCAATTATTCTATTTCATTTATTTATTTATTTATTTATTGTGGTTAAGATTTCAATCAACCATCTGTGTTTTGGCTATGTATGGGTGAGTGGGACAGAATTTAGTTGACTAATTTGCTTCACCTAAACAATGTCCACATCAGCTGGATAGAGACTTGAGAACTTCATATACGACTTCTAAACCTCTAATTATCTTTAGAGGCGGGATCTGTTCCTCACAAATGGCGCTACGAACATCTCCCGTGAATATCTAATAAGCACGGGAAATGCCTGGTAGGATGTGTGTATGAGGCGCCTGTGAGACGTCAGGTGTGAGGAACAGATCTGATCTCGACTACCACCGATAATAATGACTTGGCATGCTTCCAAACAGTGGAGTGGAGATCATGACTTTGCTTCATTTGTAAGAGTTGACATAGATCCGTTAACTAATCCGATCCGTTAATTTGATCCGCTGAATCATAGTAACTAAAACAAACCAACCCTATTCAGGATCCGGAATCGTCAAGTTCATGGGGTTAAGTGTTACAATCCCCAAATTACAAGGTGGTTATCTATAATTTGTCATATTATGTATGTTAGCATATTAATATAGTCACCCCACTCTAGTACTTGTGTATGTGTAATAGGATTTTTGGCTTTGACAACCTTTGAATTTAGCTAAAAAAAAATACTCTAAAGAATTAAAATGACCATTTTCACCCTCAAACTATGATGGAAAGGCTATTTAAGGCAAAAACAAACAACGTTAGAGATGTCAATGGATTCGTTAGACAATGAATAAAACAATAAAGCATGCTTATGTGACACTACTCAACATTGAAATGCCACTTTAGACCCTAAATTTTGAAAATGTCACTTTAATCAAATTAATTAAATAAGTTATTTCAAGGTCTATAAAGTAAATTACACTAATTAAGATAATTAAATAAATTATGTAACTGAATAAGTAATAAGTAAATCAAATTAATTAAGGAAACTAATGATTAAGTAAATTAAATAAATAAAGCTAACCAAATCTAAATAACTAAATTAAGCCAATTAAGTGAATTAATTGATTGATTAAGTAAATTAAGCTAGGTAAATAGAGTAATTAAATAATCAAAACTAATTAATGTAAATAAGTAACTTAAGTTATTGTTAATTAAGTAAATTAAGATTATAAGTAAATAAAAGTAATTAAAGAAAGTATGTAAATTAGTTTAATTAAGGAGATTGAGTTACAAAGTTAACTAAGTAAATTAAGCGATTGCTAATTTACTATTAGTTAAGCTAATGAAAGTAGTTTTAAGTAATAATTTATTCTTATTTTTTAATTAGTTTTAAGTAATAATTTATTCTTATTTTTTAATTATTTATTGATAAATTAACTACTGTTAATTTAATGACCTTAATTTGACAAAATCCTTAAAGTAATTTACTTCAAAGTTAATAAAATTTATTTTTAATTAATATATTTTTTAACATCTAAAGCGGCTTTTTTTTTCAAAATTTAGGGTCCAAAGTAACATGCCATTTCCCAATTTTTTTTTTTACTTAAGTAGTATCACACGTGCATGCTTTATTGTATTATTCTTTCGATGAAATCTATTTTTTTCTTAAAGCGGCCTTTCGATCATAGTTTGAGAGAAAAAATGGCCCTTTTAATTCTTTAGCGTCTAAAGTAGTTTTTTTTTCAAAGTTCAAGGGTTATCAGAGACAAAATCCAAGTATAAAATCATCATATTATCATATGTCTAGAGGTGTCAATTTAATAAATGAGCATATTATTTTATGGAATAATAGGTTCTACCAATCATATAACTGTGTCTTTTTGGATTATACTCAACAGACCCAATTAATAGCTCAATTAATAATTGGGTTGATTTTGTGTCTGCTATTATAGATAAAGATTAAAATATTGATATGGGGTATCGTATTCGTATTCATAGATCCCAAAACACATGGATACATTGAAACAAATTAAATAGTGCTGGGGTTTTTGAAATTTTGGGAATAAAAAAAAGCCATCTCTCTCTCATGCATTTAAAATAAAAAATAAAAAAATAAAAAATATGGGCAAATATTGATATGCACCAATACTAAAAGATGGGTATCGAGTGTATTGATATTTTGATCCTTGATTACAGACCTTATTGGTTAAGGATTGGTTCTGCATATATATATATATATATATATATACATGTTATCAGTTTGAGGCAAGGTCCACCATTATACAGATCAGACCTGATCCATGAACAACACTAATCTTCTACCGAGTTTACAATTTGGTTAGGGTTGCTTTGTACAACTTCCATTCAGGGCTGCAAATCGAGTTGTTCAATTTAAAGAATTTCAACGACATCAGACTCGGGTTAGGGTTCGGCCCATATAAAATTTGACAAAATTTCCATATCTACTCCAATACAAGAGCAGTTATCAGAATGATGTAGATTCCAATCTGATGGTTGACAGTATATTTATAGGCAAGCACCAAGGATTAAAATGCATATAAATTTAATTGATACTTTCTTTTAATCTTTATATCAATGTATCCTTATCTATCTGGATGCATTGGTATGGGACATATCATATCGATATTTCAATTATTGGCAATTAGTTGTTAGTAGAAGAAATATTCCATGTTTTAAAAATTTAAGAATAGCCAGGATATTAAGATGACCCCCAATCAAATGCCACTGTATGATGCTTACAATTTCGGTAGAATATCAAATATGAAGAATAGTTGATGAACAAAGATGGTTCAAGAATCTATAGGAGATTGGATCTTCTTTACATCACAAGAGATAAAAGCAAGAGAAATTATTATGATGTCTTCATTCTTAATAGAGTTGGTGCAAATATTTCAATGTTTTTCATATGTTCCATTATGTGGGGCAAAAATTTTGTTCCTTGGTAATCAAATATTAAAGTTACATTTTTTTTTTTAATTGATGTCTCTTTCAAATGCATATTTATTTAATTTGGAATGGCCAAAAGGAATACACCCAAACGATTCAGTTAGTGCTTGGCTCAGTTTGGGAAGAGTACAACTACAAATATTCTGTGCAAAATGCTTGTATACGGTATTTTTAAATATTGTATTTGTATAAAAAATGTTTGCATTTGCACTCATCTCAAGCTTAGGGCGATTGTAAATTCTGGTTTGTTTTTGCTTCAGATTTACTCTTTAGTTTATGAAAAGTATAAAGCAAAATGATATGGTCTCCACCTTATAGGAAAGAGAATGAAAATAAGGCTCAGTTTGGTAGGAGTACAAATACAAATATGTAGAGTGCAAAGCCTTATATTTTGTATGTATTTGCACTGTACATATTTGTATTCGTGCTCTTACCAAATGAAGCCTAAGGGAAATATTATTGTTTGGGTGAAGTAGGAAGAAAAGTTGATGTGGTCTCCCTTTTATGAGAGAGAAATGAGGTAGGAGCAAGGTTGTGCAAATTTTATAATAGTTTGTGAGATACAAAATTTACATTCACAATAATTGCACATAAATGTGTTCGGTTGCAATGCAAATATATTTGTGCTGATGCAAAACTAAGGCAATTCAAATGATTTGAGTGTTAATTCTAATCTATTTTTGTTTTAAATTTTAGCTTATTTTATTTGATTAGAATACAAAAGAAGTAAATTAAGACATCAAACAGAATAAATTAAAACTCAAAATAAAATTAAACAAGAATTTACATATTTTTTCATTTACACTCCCATGCATTTATAGTAGTACAAATAAAATTGCACTGCAATCAAATGCAGCCAAAAAGTACACATTTTGTATTGGATAGAGGTACGAACCATAATTACAAACAAGAAGATAAAAAACTTAACCGTTGTAGAATTTATATTCCATTTATATTTATTCATTTATACAACAAATAGACATAACCTAAGGCTCTGTTTGGAAAGAATATAAATACAAATATGCAAAACTTTGTATTTTGAATTATTTTGTATATAGTACAAATATAAATATGTTTTTTGGTATTCGGTTGGTGCAATGCACCATTAATAACTTCCCCTGATTCTTTTTTGCCCAAAGTGCTGGTTGTGGGTTTTGATTCCACATCAACATTGGAACAAACCAACTAACACACCAACGAGCCAACCCTCGGGTTGTTAGTACAAATGCAAATAGATAGACTACAAAACCTTGTATTGAATATTATTTTGTGTATAATGTATTTACACTATGCATATTTATATTATCTCGATTGTTACATTCGAAACTCCCAAAATTTCACCCAAATCCATGGTTTTCAAAAACTGGATGGTCAGACTGAAAAACCAAGAACCGGTCACCATTTTACCCTAGAACCGTCTTTTTAACCAAAAACCGTTGATTTGGTTAACAAACCATTGACCTGAGCAGTCGAACCGTTCAAACTATTCGAACCATCCAGCGATTCTTGGCCATTTTTTATTTTTTATTTCTTTTGTTAGAACAAGTCATCCATTCGGTTCGAATGATCTAACTGTTCGACTGAAAAACCAGATCTCTCAACCGTTCGTTGTCCAATTCAATTTTGAAAACCTTATCCTAATCCATGCAGATGTAACCCACACCACCATAACATTGGGCCAGCTGCACCAGGCCAGGTCCAAGGAAAAGGCGGTCAAATAATTGGACAAATTATGATGGGGGCCTATTTATTAAACCATAAAGATGGTTAATCTGATGGGCCTTTATACAATTTGAATTTGCAATAATAATTGTGATTTGCAAATGATGCAACATTGGAAAAAAAAAATATAAATATTTACATGATTGCTCTTGTCTGGTCAGCAATAAATATATTAAGAATCATTACTAAAATATTCCTTATAATTTCATAGATTTATTAAATCTCACTCTATATTTTGCAACCGATTTATTTTATTTGACTTTTTATTAGAAAAAAAAAAGTAAAAATGACAATTTTGACCCTCATGCTCATTAAAAAATGTTTAATCAAAATAAAATAAAAATGAAACTATCTTTTTTGTCCCTATTGAAACATGGACAACTATATATTTCGTTTGGTCACTTTTGTTGTTCTCTATTTGAAGAAATGCTAGGGGTATTTATAGAATTAAAAACCAGGGGTCCATGCCCTTAAACACAATTTCCACTTGATTTATGTAAGTGGCCATTTCCAGACAACACAAATGATTATTAATAAAGGTGGATTAAGAAAATCAGTCGAAAAGGGGTATTTTAATGAAATAAAAAGGTAGGTTTTACTATTTTAGTAAATCCGTGAAGCTACAGGGGCGGTTGAGTAAATGACCAGAATTCAGGCTTCTAAAGTTACAGACAAGGACTGCCTTAAGTTAAAGCCATGGTCATGGCTAGAGATAGTAAACTGAGAAAACATATTATGCTCCGCAGCACTGAAAGTGATGTAATAAACTGACCCACAAAACCAATGATGAGGGATGTGATGCACCCTAACGATCAAATTGACTACTGGGTTAGCCGAGCCGATGATCAAATTGAAATTTGCCTCTGGTTTGTCACTGCTCCATGATGAATCTTTCAGATTAATTTAGCAGTAGGTGGGTCACATGTATGATAATGACATTAATGGAAGTAAAAAGGGCAGGGAGCGCGCTTAAAGAAGCTCTGTGTTTGTTAACTCTTCTCTTTGTTTCGTTCAGCTACTCTGTTCTTTCTATGCTGAAATGGAAGAGCCCAAAGTTTACTCTCTGTCAGAGATCTCCCGCCATACCTCCAATAAAGATTGCTGGGTTCTCATCAAGGGAAAGGTGATTTTGATCTTTCACGTAATTATCTGCAAATGGCTTCCCATTTCTTTAGACCACTTTTGTTTTTCACTGAGATCTCATGAAATCTCAAGGCCTGTCTTAATGGGTATTTAGTTATAAAATTTTCAGGTTTATGATGTAACCGATTTTTTGGAAGAACATCCAGGAGGAGAAGCGGCTCTTTTAGAGGCATCAGGTAGAAAAGTTGAACCAGGCAGAGCTTCTTTCTAAAAGATAGTTTTTTGATATTCATTAGTTTGGATTCACTCTTTTAGTGAGGCACAAAACATGACCATTTCCTGTTTGGGGATTTTACCAAATGGATTTTTCAAGCTTGAAATGTTCATGCACTTCAATGGAAAAGTGCTGATTTTAGGTGAGTTGGTTTCAGTAGTCGGTATTATCCTATTAGAATCCTACATGTGGCAAGTTATTGGGTCCCAAACCTGCTAAGGCTCCCCTTTTTTTTCAATTTTACTCTACTGTTGAGAGGGGATTTGATTTCTCCCCTCTTTTGTTTTTCACTTGTTCCCTTTTCTAGCCAGAGGAATGAATTCCTTCAGAGGGTAACTTTTTGTTACTTTGACAGGATCTGCAGATATACCTATACATGTTCAATTTGCCATTGGTTAGGTGATCTTCATGAGATGCTTCCATCAGCTCATGGCTGGATAAAACTGAACACTGATAGCAATTGTTAAGGAAACTACTTGCTAGTTGCTTTTATATGGGATCCTCTAATAATTGCCTGCACTATAAATGCAATTTACAAGTACTGAGTCATTGCAAATTGGGGATTGTCTTTGATTCAACTTGTTCTATGATCTCCATTGTCAACCTTTCACTCCCAGTAGAAGCTTGTTTCTTTTCAAGGATTGCATGCACTATAGACACAATTTACAACTGAATCATTGCAAATTGGGGCTTGTCTTTGCTTCAACTTGTTCTATGAGCTCCATTGTCAACCTTTCACTTCCAATAGAAGCTTGTTTCTTTTCAAGGATTGTGAGCTGCTGATGGCTCCTCCAATGGCTGTGTCTTCAACATATATTAGGCAAACTATGCTATTGAGTTTCTGTTTAAATTGAGGCTTAGTCTTAATTCTGTGAGCAATTATTTGTACGTATCCTCCATGCTCTAGGTGAATTTATGTCAGTTCCATTCTGAAGATGTACTAGATCACAATATGCCCTATCTTCTTAAGTAAAATAGATCATTTTATTTTGGCCGGAAAAAGAATTTATTTCTTGAAATCTAAGACGATCTACTTTTATATAATGAAATTAAGATTCTCATGCCAAGAGAAAATCACAATAAAATGATTTCATGCAACATTGTTCTGAGTGCCCCGTTACTGCTATGGTTAATTTTCTAACCATATTTCCTTTTCTGATTCAAGCCAAAGGAGATGCTACAGAGGATTTTGAGTATGTGGGTCATACCATTAAGGCAATCCGGATGATGAGTAAATACTGTATTGGTTTTCTAGAGGGTTGTGATGCTTCCCAAGACACTGGAATTTCTGGAACTGTGAAAGAAGAAAATGAATGGGCTTCTCTTGCAGCCAAGTCAAAACATGGAAAGAAGCCCCTTGTTTCTATGAACTTGTTTGAATACCTTCTTGCTATTTTCATCTTTGTTGTGGCTTTTGTAGCTTGGTATAATCTCAACAAAGCCAGCTCCTAAGGTATTCTTTGCTGAGTGACTTTTAGTAAACAAAGGTAATAAGATAAAAATATCAATACAATCCTATTAGATAAGATATTCCATTTCTGGATGCTGGATATTGCATATTTTGTATGGATTTGTATGACAGTGTACTGAATTCATATAAGACATGAGTATATATGACAATCCCATAAATCTCTTTTATGGTTTCATTTTTCTTTTCTAATAACAAGCTGTGTGTTAATAAACCAAAGACAAAAGAGGCATATTAATGGATCACTCAGATAATAAGACAGCCATCTAGGATGGGGACATTTGATACTTAGATCCACAAGTAATGGGTTGATGTGCCACAGAATGAACTACCTGGTTCTCTAGACCATTTATACTCAAAAATATGAAGAAAAAAATAACTAAAACTCCAATTCAAGGATGAGTTGTCTGCATTTAAGGCTTGAATGATCTGGACTGAAAGTTCAACAAACCAAAAATGATATTTCCCATGCTTTCTATGCTCTAGAAGTTAAAAAAGAAAGTCTTGAACCATCCTTCAAGTTTTCTTCTTTACTTCCATGCATTTGAGATGTAGAACATATAAGACTCAAGAAACTAATCAATTAATGGAGAAAGTAAGATTTTCCAAATAATTCTTATTACCATCACTATCTAGGACTATTTCCATTAACAATTTGAATTGGTAATTGGAGTCAGACTTCCTTAGTTTGATTATCCATATACTAATTAATCATTGTGAAGACCACAACATCAGAAGGTTTTGTGGTAGTGAAGCGGAAAGTGAGGGTTTGACCCATCAAATTTGCACTTAGCTACACCCATACAATTCATTTCTCTATTTTCCCTTTGAATAACTGTTGAGATTCTTGAGAATTTCTCAGTACTATGAGATAACCAGAATTGAAATCCATGGTTGTTCAAATGATTAGGTGAGTTTATTGACTTCCAGTCTGCTCAATCAGAATGAACAATCCTAACCTTGCCATGATGGTCAACACAGATAGATTTCTCCCCCTGAACATTTTACCATGTCAGATTTCTAGATCTGTTGGTCATGAAGTCCATTTCTTTTAGTTCCAATTTTGATCAAGAGTATGTCAAAAAAGATTAAAGTATCAGCAATTACAGGTTTAACCCCTCATCTCTCTCTTATAATAGTTATACAAGACTTACAAGTATGTTATGGCTAGCTTTCTTGATCAGGTTGAATTACAGAAAGCCCAAGCTTGGAAGTTTGTTATCCCAAGATCAGCCTTGGATCATGAGCCTGATCCAAGATGTGTAAAAGCTCTTTTTTTAAGAGGCTGAAACCGGAAGTTGATTTCCATCCATATAATGCTCAGAGTCTCCACTTTTGATGTTGGAAACTGAATAAGCACTTCTATTATTTAAGTTTACTTGTCAGTTTGAAAAGCTGCTATGTGTGAGTCATTCCAGGCTGTAATGTGTTGGTGGGCCTTGCTAGCAAGGAGCACTGTCTGCAAAGATGTTCTTTCTCTTTCTGGCATTACATATTAGTTTTGTCTGTAATCTCATTAGCCCCTAGTCCTTACCCTTGTTGGAGGCCTCAAATTCTTCTATACAAGATCATATGTTGTATTTCCCCTTGGTTCCATAATCTTCTTTTCAACTTGTCAAATTTTCCTGTTGTAATAATATTAACAAGTAGGAATCAAGTTTTTGTTCTTAATTATTTTTTTCTCTGTTCTTTTTTTTTAACTACCTTGGGGGCTTGGAGCCGTAGATTTGGAAATATAGGTTCTGTTGATCGTCATGCAACTTAATCTATTTGAGTTATATTAATTAGTATACTATTGAACAAGATCAAAATATCGGGTGTATTGACGCACCCAGATATCCATCGATACATCAATACAAATATATTTTAAAACTTTTAAAACCTTGGGGATGGTGGAAGGCATACTGTAATCATTATATATTAAAGACTAGAATATTCATCATATCGATATGCACCAATACCCAACTTTGGGTCAGCATGGGTGACATGGGGTGGGCTGCAACCAAGGTTAAAAGTACCGATACATATCTGTTTTTGAACCCACCAGAGTTGGTATTTGTGGCCACTTTTAAAGGTTAATATCTTTTCTAGAGATGGCCCGGCTTAATTCTTGAAACTATTAAAATTTTAAGCTTGATTGTATTGCCCCTTTGTTGCAACCTATGTACATATTAAAACCATGGGTTATTAATGGATGTGGGTGGTTGGTGGATGATTTGGCCTTCGACCTTCATTAGTGGTATAAGTTGGGTGCCCTATTTGAATACATTGGGCCTAGATTTTTGGGCCAGGTTTATTCAAATTTTGACAAAACTCCAACTGAAGCCTACCCAAATTACACCCCTAATCCTCATTCAACCCAATCCACCCTTGATACTATTGCACCATTCTGCTCTATCGAATGCCACATATATTGTTACTTTTGAGTCAATGAGTGTTGAATAGGGCTGTCAAGGGATCTAGGAATCTAAAGCCTGATCCAACATCCAATCCAATCATATAAAATTCAGATGGTCCATTTACATAATTGGATTGGATTTGCATTTACAATCTATATCCAATTAATAATTGGAGCAGATGTAGATTTAACCCCACCCATCTGAGTCCAATTATTTTAAATATTATATTAATTTAATATATAAAATTTATATAATTATATATAAATATGAAGATAAATAATTATATAAAATAAATTCAGTATTTTATGATTATATTAATTTATTATATAAATTAAAGCATAATTGATTTTCTATTTCTTTTAATTTTTTCTTTTAAAAAAAATTATAAAGTGGAATTGAATTAAATCCAAATCCCATCCAAGTCCAACACAATTCAAATCCAATCCGAGATCCCCAAATCCATTAAGATTTCAAATTGAATTTGGATTTTAAATTTCATTGGTAGGGAGGTCCTATTCTTTGAACATATAATTGGTCAAATTACAGACTCCCACAGGCCCACATCCTTGAAAAAATTGAAAATTGAACTTGGATTCAGTCCTCACAAATCACTGCTTACATGCACTGTCGTCACAGCCACTTGCAACCATGTAGTAAGAATATCCCCATACTCGTATGTTTTTATTCATGTGGCAATATTCCCAATGTACAACTGCAAGTGGCTGTGAATACAGTGTGAGCATCGCTTGGTAGGGAGGTACTTTGCTTTGAAAATATAATTGGACGAATTACAGAATGTCACCCTCTAGACTGCTTACATGCACTGTCGTCACAGTCACTTGCAACCGTGTATTAAGAATATCCCCATACTTGTATGTTTTTATTCATGTGGCAATATTCTCAATGCACAACTGCAAGTGGCTGTGAATACAGTGTGAGCATCGCTTGGTAAGGAGGTACTTTGCTTTGAAAATATAATTGGACGAATTAAAGAATGTCACCACCCTCTAGTCTGTTCACTACTCAGGGGGCATTGACAGTTAACGCCCCCCCCCCCAAAAATTTTGTTTCTTTTGACAGAGGTCCCCTGAATTTTTGGATTCCATCATTTTGCCCCTACTCTGTTAATGGGTTGACAGTAAAGGTTACATTAATAAATTTCTCATTATCAGATTTGATGAAATGGGCATATGTTAAATCACAATATCTCTTTTGGGCTGGGTACTGCGCTTCTAAACCCTCGCCAATGGCATCTGTTGAATCTTTGGTAAGGGTTTGACGGAACAATGACCCAATAATCCCAACCCACAAGAGATATTGTGTATTAGCGAGCCCATTTTTGTCTTTTTTCATAGCTTATCTCTTAGTAAAATTTTGAATGAACAATTTATTAATTTTATCTTTATTAAGCTGTTAATGGAATAGGGAGCAAAATGATGAAATCCAAAAGTTCAGGGGGGGTTTATAAGAAACAATGCTAGCTTACAATGTTTTCACACATGGGTCCTACCCTTCAAAGTTCAATCAAACCCAACAACCATCATTCAAACCAACCAACCAGTAAGCAAGGAAGATCCACAAGCATATGCTTCTATGGTGGTATTATTCCATGAATATTCCCTATTTATTTTTCCCTGTGATTCTGAATATATAACAAGGACAATATGTATACTTGGATCTTTCTCAGTCTTAATCCATAAGGCAAATTACAAGATTTTTGCAGCAATGAATATGTTTGTTGATGACCATCTAGTCATGCTCTTTCTTTATGTTGCATATATATAGTTCATGAATATGGTTAGATGATCATCAACAAACACATTCATAGTAATGCATCTCTCTCCCTAAGAGATTGCTAATGGGCTCTAGCAATCTAATCTAGAGATTATTGTGGAGTGAGAATCCTGGGTCATGGCTTTGGATCTGTTTCTGATGTGGCTCAGAAAATTGAGACCCATCTTATGATTAGTTTGATTTCTATTTTATTTCATCTATTCTTATTGTGATGAATGAGTTGCTTTTCTGGTCTATATATTGTTGAATGTTGATTATTTGAGGAAACTTTCATGGAAGTGGTCAATCTTATCTCTAAATTTTCAGGAGTTTCGATGTATCAATAAATTTTGTAGTGTTTTTTTTTTTTTTTTTTCTCGAGCTTTGGATTTCCTCTGCAAAATAGGAATCCGGTGAAAACATGAAATCGTGATGATCTGATCAAATTGATTAATTTCACAGGTAAGGTCTAATCGGTGGTTGATCCTGATCCTCTGAAAATGGGTCACATGGAGAACTATGGAAACCTATGACTTAGGTAAGCCCGTGATCAAGGGTTTGGAAGGCTCAATTCAGGCCCAACCTTAAGGTTATGTTTGGTTCGAAGGAAAATGTAGGGAATGGAAGGGAAAGGAAGGGAAAGATAGGGGAACCTATACAAGGTTTGTAAAGGTTTCCTTACCTTTTCCTTCCTTTCCTTGCATTTTCCTTCAAACCAAACATAGCCTAAGAGTTGGGGCCTCCACATAGGAAACCAGCTACAATTCAAGTATATGATCAGTCAAGGCTCAGCCCAACCCCACATAGATATTATGGAAAAGTACGGACAGGCTTAATGCAGATTTCTGATTCCCACTACAAAGGTATAAACATTCAGAAGGTCCAAAAACCACACTCTATGCACTTATACCCGCCCATGAATTGGCATCAATTCCGAGCTGACACTTACCCCAAATGTACTTTGAGCCTACAAATTCTGACCCTGGGGTTATCGGTCATTCTCCCT